TCGAAGGGCAGAGAGATTTCAGCAAGAGATGGTGGTTAGGGAGAGAACAGCATAAGCAAAGGTCCTGAGGTCAGAAAGCAAAGAGTGTAAACCTTAAAATCAAATGGGACCTTGGAATTTACCAAAGCAACTCCTTTGCCACTTCCATGGGCACATGGCTTTTTTCCCACTTACATTTTCATTTTGTTGAGACTGCTTCCCAATAAAGTAGGTGGATTCTAATGTATTCTAATCCTCTTTGGGGGAAAAATATCATGTGACTGAGAAACCATATAAAAAGTAACTTACCTGAAATGCAAAAAAGTCCTCTGCAGGTGCATTCATGATGTTGCAAATCTGAAAGCCGTGAAGAGGAATAATGGAATTATGATTAGACTTGATAGATCGAGTACCCATTGAGGGCACTGGGTGTGCTGTTTTCATAGATATCACGTCCTTCCTTGCTCAAAGCATTCACATTCTTTTCATCAGGTAGACATGCTCAAATGGTTTTGAATTATTAATTGAGACTACTGAACAGGAAAGCTACCTTATAAACATGACCTTTTACTATTTGCCTCACTTCTGAGTCATTTCCATGCTTTGAAAAACTTAAGGCTACAATTTGTCATTATTAGTAGCTATATAGTATCCTGTTTTCTTGGCCCCCTTTTATTGAGTATCTGGGTATCTCCAGTTTTTTCAAATTAATATAAATAATGCTACTCTGAGCATCTTCAAATCAATTACATTAGTTTGTTTTGTTAGGAAGGAGTTTTTCCTTGTGGTATAAACTTCAAAGTAGAAATAAAAGGTGCTGTAGCTTTGGTTGTATATTGCATGATTCCTCTCCTGAAAACTGGACTAGTTTACCCTACCCTGCAGATGGCACTTATCTGATCCCTCCAGAGCCTTGCCCATGGGGCTGCTGCATACAGTTGTGTAGTACGTGGACTGCACAAAGGCATCTGACTGAGGGGATGAGTGGGAGTTGAAATCCAGCCTGTTCTTGACTTCTAGAACAATGGCCCTAGCCTTTTCTTTCATCCATCAAGAAGGGGCGCTTTCTTCTAGTTCTCAGATAGGTGCCATATGAGCTTGCGGTGACCCTGCCTATCCCAGTAGACCTGACTATCCTGTGGCCTTAGAGTAAGCTGTCCCTGCTCCTGTTCAAGACTGCCCACCCACTGTACCATCCCTCTGGCCTTTCCTTGGCCAATTCCATCAATTGCTACTGTTCTATCCTGATCTCTGACCTCCCTGAGGGCTTGCCCCCCTCAGCCCAAGGGCGTGCTTGATTCTCTCCCAGGCTCAAAAATGAAATCCTCCCTTGACTTAACATGGTCTTCATAGTAACCATCCAGGCTTTCTCCTTCATTACCTACCTTCTTATTACCCATCCACACCTCAGCAGACCACACGCCAGTTTCTGCCTCCACTTCACCGTGAAACCTGCCCTCATCAGGGCCGCTGATGACCTAACTGCCAAACCCAGTGGGGGTTTTCAGCTTTTATCTCATTGGGTCACTTTTGCTGCATTTGATATTCTCTCTCCTTGTTGAAACTTTCTACTTCCTTGGCATCCATGATACTACCCTCTCCTGGGTCTCCAGACACCTCTGAACCCTTCTTCCGTTTCTCCTTCACATACTCTTCTTTATCTACCCAATCTTTAAATGCTGACAGTATTCTAATATTCTACCCTGAGTCTCTCTCACTCTTCCTGGTGACTTCATCCACACTCATGGTTTCAAGTGCCACTGCCGCTAGGTAGCAAAGTGGTCAAGGACCAGATAGGACAGTGTCTGTGTGGCAGTCAGTACAAATCTCCATCTCCAAAACTCTCTTTCCACAGCATCAGAGTCATCTCTTCAGCTACTTGCTGGACATTTGCTCCTGAGAAACTCTCTGTCTCGCCTTGTCTGAAACTGACCTCAGCATCTTACCCCCAAACCTGGTGGCAGCACTATCCATCCAGTCTGGGAGCCTGAAACTGGCTTGGGCTGCTCTCCCTCGCCCTCTCTGCTCGCAGTCAATCACAAAGCCCTCTCGGGATTAGCTCTGAGCCCTGGCCTCTCTCTCTCCAGCTCATCTCCATCAGAATCCTGTGAGTGTTAAATGAGCAAATGTATCTGCTGCCTGGCTCACCGTGAGCACTCCGCGCCTGTTAGCAATGAAGACAGTATTCTTTGCTGCCTCTGCCTTTGTTGAGATGCTCTCGTTTGTAACGACACGCTTTTCTCTCTGCTTCTAGTCTTAGTCCCTTCAGACCTATTTTCCAGAGAGCTTTCAGAGTTATCTTTCTAAAATGAAGATTCACTGTGCCAATTTCCTGCTTAAAAGCTCAACACCTATAGATTTTAAAGTCCCTCCCCCTTGACCTAGCACCCAAAGCTACCGTGATCTGGCCCCTCCCTCCCTCTCAAGCCTCATCTCTTGCCACCTTCCTGGCTCAAACCTAATATTCTAGCAACACTGAACTGCACACACCATGTTGCTTCAAACCTCCAAGCCCGTGCTGTTTGCCTGTGTGGTTCTCTCCACCTAGAATCCTGCCCCTACCTGCCTAACCCCTGTTTATCTTGAAAGTCAACTCACACTAACGCACTCTAGAAAGTCAAGGCCGGTTTAGATGTCCCATTACTTTGTGTTCCTAGAATATACCAGGTGTATCTCTAGTACGGCATTATCACATTGTAGCATTACTATCTGTTTATAAAGACAACTCCCCATTTAATTGTAAGCGTCAGAACAGAAACTGTCTGATTCATCTATCTTTGCATCCCCAAAGCCAACCACAGCTCCTGGCACATAGAAAATGCTCAGTAAATAAACTTCTTGCTATGTGAGCATCATTACGTAGTGTGTGCCGGCCACAGAGGTGCGCAGGTTCACATATGGGGGTGACAGACATGACCCTTCTCTCTGGGGCAGGGGATGCTGTCACTCTACCCTTGACCCTGAGTGGGCAGGGCATGGTCGGAGATAGAGCACTTGAGTTCTGCTGTGTGGCTGGAAATGTGGTAGGGATGGGCGGCTGGAAGTGGCAACTGGGTCTCTGGGATGAGAGGCTGGGACTTTGTCCTTGAGATTTTTGTAAGTATCTTTCTGTCTGAGGATTCTTTCTCTTTGTATTTTGTATTTCCTCAGTGTCAGTTCTCCGTGCATCCCCTTGGACCAACCATCAAGGGCACTGTATTACTTACCAGGCCATTTTGGGCAACATAAGTGGGGAGACCGCTCACCAAAGCCCAGTGGTCAGGAGGTGGATTCCTGCAAAGGCCAAAGTTCAGTGGTAACTTTTGATATATGGACAGCTGGACTAAAAACTTGAACCTGGGTCTTACCCTATCTCTCCTTTCTGGTGGCTCTGATCATCCACTTACTCTACCTGACCAAACCCCAAATCTTGACTAAGGCATCTTAATGTCCAAATTTAGACACTGAGAAAAAAATGATAAATCAATTTTATTGATTTCACACCAAGTCTGGCTGTCTTAAAAAAGAGACAAAATTCATCCAACAGATTGTTACTGGCTGCTGAATAAAAATAGATACCATCGTTTTCCTCCATTGAACTTACATAGAGAGAGTTAGCTTAATACCATGTGTAAGGGGGGAAACCCGTCTACGGTGCGCTCCTACCACACGCCAAGCTCTAAGTTAAGTGCTTTACATACTTATTGATCCCTCACATCAGTATCACAATTTTGGGCATTATTATTTGTCACGTGTTCATTGTGAAAAAAGTGTACACATGGCAAAACGCATTAAAAACGTCATCAATCGTTTGAAAGTGAACACCTATGAAATCACCTCACGTGGAGAACAACCTTGTTGGCACCTTGAGGTCTCTGACCTGCCCCTCCCGCTCACGACCTTCCCCGGAACCCCAAAAGTAACCACTGTTCTGACATTATGACAATGCCATTCTTGCTTTTCTGTGGAGTTTTATCCCCTGGTTTCCTATACCCTGCTTCTGCTGTTTTTCAACTGCATTTAGGGTGGAATCATTCATTGTACACATATTATTATCATTTGACTTCTATTTCATGTTGCTGTAATTCATTCAGTTTATTAACTTACAGTTTTCCCTTGTAAGACTGCACATAAATTGTTCATTCAGCTGTGGATGGACATCCGCCTCAGTCTGGGGCTAATATAAGCATTGCTGCTTCTAAAAGTCTGGCGTACGTGTGCTCTCAGTTCAGTACGGTATTTCTCGGAGTAGAAATACTGAGTCGTAAGATATGCCTATCTTCAACTAGATAAGGCCAAACTGTTTTCTCAGGTGGTCGTGCCAATTTACAC